TGTAAATTCGTGTGTTAACTTTTGCGGCATCTTAATTTCGTTTTCGTTACTGTGCTCTAAAAAGGCATTCACAAATGTGTAAAACAAGATTTCTCATCCACTCCATCCTCGGTCCGGAAAGAGAAACACTGTAACGTCGGTTTTGAAATTCCAGCGATTGTTCTAGAAAAGTTTCTTTGAGAGGCGGTATACTGTACCCCTATGCAACCTTTCCTGCACACAACAAAAACCCTAAGAAGAGTGTAGCGCGTTCGACACTATACGGTGTCAGCTTTTTTTTTTTTTTTTTGTACATGGAAAGTGCGCGTTTACAATTCGCTTCCTACGACACAAGTGTTTTTAATAACGATCACTGCCGCTCCGTGTCGCCACCTTTATATGTTAATAACACTTTAAGGCTTAACCTCGATATGTTGTATATTAGGTACGCATTAAACACAAGCAAGGTGGCACGCACCGCCGCCCTGTTAATAGGGTTCAGCCCCTCGCATCATCCACCCAATCCATCTCTGTTACAGGACGTATTTCGTGCTTGTTGTCACCTCGCAGCTTTCGTGGGCCCGTGACGCGCGAAACATTTACGTGCAAACGAAACTCATACAGAGCGACAGGGCTCAAAGGATGCGATCCACAGCTGAATGTCAGCAAAACTACATAAACGCAGTGGAACGCGCTTATATCGCAGACAAAAGCCACTAAATAAACTTAAGCTACGTTTCAGTGCAACGACACTAGAGTGATCTCGGAGGATGACGATCATTGTTCCCAGTTGTCTGACGCTTTATCGGAAATCGAAGGAAACACTACTCCGTCCTCCAATAACGTTGAAACGGTCAACAGCAGAGCAAAACGATATCGCGTTAGCTTCCCGACACCCTATCTAGAGTTCTGGAAGTCGCACTTTTTAAATCGCATTCGCTCTTCACTGTATACTTAAAAATGACGGCGCTGACAAGACAATCGGAGGATGGGTCGTGGGCGCTACTCGAAGCGTTGCCTGTTTAGTGGCTCTCTGGCACATCAACTTCGGGATTAAAAAGTTTGCTGTTCTACAACACTTTTCTTCCCAAGTAAGATGCGGAACATCGCCAGGGTTGTGTTTGCGCGCCGTGTGTACAAACGGGGTGATCGCTGCACAATTTGCAACAACGTTAAAAAGCGAGTTCCGAGATGCACTTGCCGCACTCGTTTAACCAACGTCCGATAACGACGACTCATTCCGGTCCAAACCGGTCAATCTAATTACAGATCGTCCGACAAGGAACGCAACGACCTGCATGCATGTAATAATTCCGCGCGCGCCTGCAGAGCCGGTCCACTTAAAATGGGCGTCCTTGGCGAGATCTCGCCGGGTGCTATCGTGTTTACAAAAGAAAAAAAAAGAACGCGAAGGAGATCGTCTGTCCTTCCGACTACTCGCTTTAGCCGCCCCCAGAAAACCTATATCTGATCATACGTATATATAGGTAGGCTCTTTTTCTTTCTTTTTCCTAACTGGAACGGTCAATCCACGTTCACTTATGCCCCAATCACTACCGCGCAGCGAGCTCGGCTAATCTAATCGGAAGGACTTCATTTTTTTTTTTATCAATCCACGAACAAGGGTCGGAGGCACGATCGCGCAAGCTTCTCAGAATATACGGTTCTTCAGAAAGAAATCAGCGCCGGAGGAAGAGGTTATATTCTATAGCCGCATTTGCGAGAGAAACATTTGCGGCGAAATCGCCCCGGTGCAAAATCTAGACTGTGCTTAGCGGCTCAGAAATGCGAAAGGCCTCCGATGAATCGCTCGACCGGCAGGTTATGATAATCACGAAACATGAAGCCGGCGGTTTTATTCCACTCTTATTTATTTATTTTTTTCTTCTTGCCCGCGCTTTCTTGCTCGCTCGCTTTTAATTCCGCGTAATGATCAGGCGTAAGCATGCAGCTGCACATAGGAGTGTAAAATAATAATAATGGTAAAAAAAAAGACCCAACTCTACGCCGACACTGCCGTCGCAGCTTTCGTCGCAGCCAGCCAACTCGGCGATCGTCCTTGGCAAGCGCGACACAGCGAGCGGAGAGAAACCAACGTGCAAAAATGGGGCTCGCGAAGAAAATAAAACGAAAATAAGCAAGCTGCGTCCGCCGCTCCAAAAAAGAAGTCCCCCGTCCGCAGAAGCGTGAAGCGATCCACTGACCTGTCTGACTTGGGGTAGTCTTGGAACTTGGTTTGGATCAAGTCCTGTATGCTCCTCAACGACTGCGGCTCTGCCGAGATGCCCTGCGCCCGTTCCTTGCGACGGCCGCTCCGACTGTACCGATTGTACGGGATGAGCACCGACTGAAACTTGTCCAGTTGGCTACGCAGCTGGAGGATTTCTTCATCTCGCAGGGTGACCACCTGCCGCAGGTCGTGGATAATCCGTTCCTGCTTGAGCACGACGTCTCGGAGTTCCTCCACCGAGCCCATGCTCAAAACCGCAGCCGGGCACTGCGGCGGCGGCGCCGGGCAGCTCTCTTCGCACTCCAGCTCCGCGCTTTTGCGTGGCGACGAAGGCAGACAGATCACCACCGAGCGGCGGGGACGCGACGGAAACATGCGAAAGTCACTGGTCGCTGCGCTGGCCTCAGTCGACATGCATGTTTTGAGGTTGTTGCAGCGGCGATCACACGTAGACGCGCCCGGGTGGCGAACGACACACCAGCGCACGCCGCACCGCTCACGCGTTATCGAGGGATAAAAACAGAAAAAGAAAACTCGTTATCTTTTTTTTCGCGGCGCCGCTGGCGCCACCCCTTGGTCGCCTTTGGAACCGCGTGAAGGACGACGTGGGGAAGATGGCCGCTCGCTGTAGCAGACGACGCCGGGTGTCGTCTGCGCGCGTGCAGGAAACGTTTGTTTGTTCTGAACAGCAAACGCGTGGAAATGGGACCAATATTTTGACGATTACGGCATATTCTGGTTAACGAGGTAGTTATTCTCGATGGTTGCTACGTGCGCCGAAGACTTGTTAAGGGAGATTAGTGCGATTGGACTCTTTGATGTCGTACGAGTCGAGGCGATTGCACCGGTAATAACCGGTTTGTTCGAGTTTCTCCCCCCACGTTCCGCTATTTTAAGATGTTGCCTGACATATTTCAATTTCGAATTACGAAGGGATCTCTTTTCCGAGAAGAATTCCACGCATGCGCGGCATAGCTTTTCATCTAGTGGCTATTTCCTGCAAACTTTCCGGTGTAAGCGGGAGCGGACGTTCTGTATTCGTTTAGCGCTGAACGGGAAGTGCGGTATCGTCCTTTTAGATTTGCTAGCATTGCATGATCCAGATAATCCTACTCGAATAATCCCCTGTCTCGCAAACGTTTTTTTTTTTTTTTTTAAGCTTATATTTTTTTTAGAAGAAAAAAGAAAAAAAAATCTTTTTACACGTGCCTTTGTTTTTGTAGCGGTATGCCGCAAATTATGTAAATCAAGAATCAAATTTTTTGAATCGACGCTGATTTATTACGCCTTTACAGGAATGGGAAAAATACATGCAAATATGTATCGAAATACAAATACAAAATACTTCGTCAAAAATGTATTTAATTACAAATCTAATTACATTTCCAGAAAAGCATTTAAGTACAAGATACAAATACAACCAAATGTATTTAGTCTCCTCCAAATGCTTTTGCAAATACATTCCTCAAAATTTGCGTCAGCGACTTCAGGGCACCTGCAACGGGTTTCTGGGTATCTCATTTAAATTGTGCGTCGCACACTCGGGAGTTAGTGTGCGAGGCTCTAGTAACGTAATAGAAATATAATCACAAAAAAAAAATGTAATCAGTTTGGACGTAATAGGGGAAAAACATACAGAGCTTCAAACAGCTTTTTTTGTCGATTACATTTTAGTATAGACCAACAAAGAACCGAGACGACCAAGACGTGCAGCTCTAGCTAGAGATTTTTTTATTGTTGCAACTCGCACAAGTTACGAAAATCTGGACGACCCGCGCATTTAGAATGTTCCAGGCAAAAATATAAATGGAAATCAGGCTGGAAAGGACAGCAAGTTGTCACAGGCACTTATTTAGTGAGTCTGCCTGTGAACGTCGATTTCGTCATTATTCTTGCCTTGGACTAGCACCGTAATCACAAAGTCACTAAACACTTGTGCTGGATTGAGAGACACTGCATTCGGCTCAGAACGTAGTTTTCTTCCTGCTCTGGACAGTGACAATAAATTTAAGGGATGTATTTTCGCCAACAAAATTGTATTTAATTACAATTGTATTTGAAATACCCACCTTTTAGTATTTAAATACACACGCCAAATACATTACCCAATTTGTAATTAAATACAAATGCAAAATACACAAAGTATTTGAAATACGTATTTCAAATACTTCTATTTGAAATACTGCCCATTCCTGTGCCTTTAGTATAAATAGGAGAGCCCAAACAGTTCGAATAGAATGAACAAATCTAACATAAAATTGTAAGCATTCATTGTAGGTAAAACATAAAAAAAAAAATAAAGAAGAAAAGCCTACGAATTCGAATATTAGCATTCTGAGGCAGTCTGCACTTTAGCAGAATAAACGTATAGCACATATCACATGCTGTAGCCTTTAAATCAAACACAAAGAAAAAAAATGAGACTCCAAATTAGGGATATTGCTCGAATATATATTGGTCGTCATTCATGTTAACGCCCAGAAAACACAAAAAGAACTCGCCATTACAGGCACTGTCAATGTAAGAATTATTACCTGACACCCTCGACAGCGCTGCAAACAAACCGGTTCACAACCCCCCTCCCTCCCCCCCCCCCCCCCCCCCCCAATAAAGAAAAAGTAAATAAAAAAAAAGTACGCAAAAATTGTCGAGGCCGGTCGAGGTTATTGCAGGTTTTATCGCCGTCTAAAGATAAATAAATAAATAAAACAGGACACACAATTATCTTCAAAGCCGTTTTTCGTTCATTTTACTTGCATTGAATTTCTCCGAAGGCTATGTGCCACCGCAGTCAGTTTCCGTGTACCAGCGCTAGCAGAGCCTGCCTGTAGTCCCCGGATGTGTCGGACTGCAAAGAAACACCACGTAAGCCGATAGCGTGGCTAAAAATAGGCAGACAACCGCTAGTAAAGAAGAAAAGGAAAAAAAATTCTAGATCATAAAGTGAGAGCACACGTGTTAGCACGTAGCGACACGCATATTTTCTACTGCAGGGGCCTTCAAACATTATGACGTTGGAGTCGGATTAGGTGTCTGTCGCTGTTTCGAGGGCCAGAAAGTAAACAACCAAATATTTATAAAAACAAAAACAAACAAACAAATAAATAGACCTAGTACACATTTAAACTTAGATTTAAAAAAAATCGATGTGGAATCAAATAAAAAAAAAAGAAAAAGAAAAAAAAAAGAATCTAAGGTGTATTATTAGAAAACATACATGCGAATAACGAGACTTGCGTGGAATGCAGTTCAAGATTTAGCATAATTTATTATTTAGTCTAATCATGGCATTTTTCAATAATTGTAGCCCCGAAAACTTATCGCGCATAAACCAAAGCGCATGGGTACGTCGGCATATTCGCAGAGGGCACAAGTCTAATGAGAATGGTTCGACTGATGACGACCATACGCGATACTTAGGACACACCAGAACACTCAGTTGGGAAACTCTCCGTCGAAACTTGGGCCGCTGGCGTCCACCGAGACCGAGCTAAATACGACAACAGCGCCACCCTTTATCATTTGTTTGTACTGTGGTCACCTTGAGCTTTTAGAAAGCAGGTTTTTGGGTAAAAACAAACGGAAAAGACTCTTTTTGTATGAACTTTATTGGAGTTTAGTACCAAATGATGGGGCGCGTGATGTTTTTAAAATCTAAGTTGCAGGGTTTTGCGGCACAATGAATATTGTTTTCATACAACCACGCCTCAGCGGTGCTTTCAGGTAGCGCGTGCCGACCTAGGTGCATTTTAACTTGGGTAGTAAGTCGCGGCGCGCCCGCCGGGGAGACGGGTGTGGCATTCCTGTAACCTCTTCCGCTGTATCTGTTTCGGCTCCTAAACGGCCGATGAAAGCCAAAATAGGGGTAACGTACAGTTCCTCGAGTGGCCGCTGCGGGAGAAAGGGCAGCGTTGTCAACCATTTCGTCGTTTACCCCGTCGTTTTCTAGCATGACGGTAACGGAAACTATATTGCGTTAACAGTATGACGGCAACGCTATGCTAGAACTTACTTGGCGAGGTGCTTACGCAGTGGTGTCGAGTAAAGTCGAGGCAGTAGCGTATAATAACTATTGGCGATGGGATAGCGGCATCATTATCCTCATTAGCGTTAGAAAGGGCGGGTAATTATTATGTTTATGCTGCGTCGCACGAGCCTTTTCTCCATAAAACCTTACTTCATAGAACGGCCCCCACTCGTCTGCTGTATTGAGAAACGGGGAAGTCAATCCCTCTCGGCCTTTCCAACAAACTGCGTGTATACCTGAATGGCGTTCTCCAGCGGAACGTTGAAGTTTCTCTGGTATTCCTCTTTGATTTGGACCAGGTCAATCTCGCACCTCGAGACGATGATTCTAACCAAGGCCTTGTCGCTGGTTCCCATCCCCTGAAATGCGCATGGAAACAGTTTGCATTACAAACGCCATTCTTCAGTTCTCCTGTCTAGTGGAGATGAGCGAGCAAAACTTTGCACTTGAAAACTCGATTTCCGGGGGAAAAAAAAAGTTGCATCAGGACGTAACCTAGATGTCAAAATTTAAAGCTTGCTTGTTTGTTTGTTTATCTGATGTCTTTTCTCGCGGAGGGGTGGGGGGGGGGGGGGGGGGGGGGGGGGGTTAATTTACGCAGCGGTACGATGTCTAGCAGAAGGAATCCGAATTTTATGGCTACCGCGCCTATAAGGATGAAGACAGGATTATGCCTTTTATGCCTGCCTCTCTCCCCCCCCCCCCCCCCCCCCCCTTTCCTCTTTTTTCCCTTTCCGTCGTGAGTCTTGTGCCCGAGACTTTCCCCCTTGTCCTCTTTTAAAAGAAGATCAGCTATCGCGTATGCACAATTAAAGTCCATTCACGGATTTGACTTCGCTTACGACCGAGCTCTTGCCACCTCTTACGCTGAGAGAATCAGAATGCAGAGCCGAACCCGAACACTAACCGAAAATCGGAGCAAAACTGTGGAACAACGAAAGGTGAAACGGGGTATATCTGTCTGTTCTTAAGTGCGTCTGTGTGTAATGTGCAGGGGCGGATGCCCTCCCCCCTTTTCTCCGCCCAAGTGTTTTACATGGCAAGCAAAAACAGCGCAAAAGACAAGGACAAAAGAGAAACATACACGACAGGACAAGCGCCGACTCGCGACTTGTTTTTCACTTATAGAAAAGAAGAAAGCACTCAAGGCACGCCTTCCCACCCGTATCTTACACCCATGATAGCTGCTCATACAGCACGCGCTGCCCTTCACTGTGAATTTAATGAACTCCAGCTCGTTCTAGACAACGCCACATTCACACTGCAGCGTTCAACCGCTTTGCGGATGGTGTTCAGCCGCCAGTGGGAATGCGGCGTTATGCAGTTTTCTCCCCCTACTGTGGATAAGGAATGCCTGCAGCACTTCGCGTGTCACCTTGCCCTTGTGTCGTCCTAAAATGGTGGTAGAACTAAATGACGTTTCGCACAGGCAATCATTACAGTGAGCCAGCCGGTGCGGCTACACAAGAGTAGAATCCTATACACTGCGCCCATTAGCATATGCATCGATCGGATTGGTGTGTTTCTTACACTTGTTTCCTGAAATTTCCTCTGGCTTCGCGGTAACTGCGGTACAAATCTAAAAAAAAAATAACAACAAATTTTATAACGGCTGCCAACAATTTTTTTTTTTTAATTGTGCGGGAACTTTTGTGAATACGGGATGACGACTTATTTCTTTCTTTCGACAACACGTTTGATGAACTCGCAGCCCTTAAGCTTTTTCAGTAGGGTGCTTGACACGTTTGACAATAGTGCCGATGGATAGCCAGTTTCTTTTTAGCCTGTCAGCTTGCGTTTTTATAAAGCTGTTTCTCAAAATTTGGATGCACGGCTTTTTTTAGTGCTGAGCCTGGACATGATAGAGTGATGCCCCTCTTTACAGTTTGTGAGTGGTCCGACCTGTAGTCTAGAATACCCTTCTTTTATGGTGGACAATACGTCCATCAAATACGGGAGACTTTAGGCAGAGAGAGCGGCCCAAGTTCTGGAGTACCCTTTCTTTTGGAACCTCACAGGTGGACCTGAGACCTCCCCCCATTCCGTAAATATCTCCACCATTTTCTCTACCTGCGTTTCCAATTATCTTTCTCTTCCGAGAAAAAACAAAAAAGCCCTTTACATAGAGGACTGCCTCGGTAACACTCGTGCCGCCAAGCGTTCTTTCGACTGCACAATCCACTTCACCCCAGTAAATTTCACTTAAAACGGAGTCTACACAGGACCCAATGAACACTCCTGATTTTAGCCGATAGTATTCATCACGCCACCCGACTATCATTGACTGCGTGATAGAAATGCAACAACTCCATAACGTTTTCCAGGGTTATACCACTAAAACTTCTGAACGCAATCTCTCCAATGGGTTCAAAGCACCTTTTCACGGATGCCAGCAATCGATCATGCTGTAAAGAGTAAAAAAACGTATTGCACATGTATACTAAAGGTATCTCTCCCCCCTAAACCGTCGACCTCAAGGGGTCCATGAATATCATGGACCCTCAAGGGGTCCATGATATTCAAAGACGACAGCTGCTTTTGGAGGCCACTTGCCTTTGCCACGACCGTTTTCTCGGGATAATGGCTCGAAAGGGGCATGCCCTTAGGGCTGGGCGTCGATTAAAAAACTTTAATCCGATTAATCGCCACCCTTCACTCTATTAATTAACCCAATATTCGGTCAAAATCACGTTTTTTGCCTTTATTGATAATGTGATAAACCACGCAATATATAATTTCGGTTATGAGTCGACCCCGATGTGTGGTTGAGACAGGTTCAGGGACACTCAGATTCACACATTATTACTTCAGCTCTATGATGCAAGGAGGTTCGTGCATGTCCTCCGGCAAGGGAGACTTTCTTTGATTGATCACAATACTCTCTGCTGCACTAAAACGGACACTCGGACGGCGCTGACGTGGCCGGGAACCGTGTAACCAAATGCACATGTCTGGAGTTACATATATTGCCCCTACAGTTTAGGTTAAAATTTCGCCTAAAGTGTGCCCTTCATACATGTGCCCTCGTCTACGTCTGAGTAATAAAAGCGTTTAATTTTACAGCGTAGCTGTTAAGGGCTAGTTTCCGCAGGATCGTGTCTGTCAGCAATCAAATGATGACACAAAACTCTGGACAGCTACCGCCATCTATGAGCGACGGCGGGAACCAGACAAGCGGCTTGCTGATTGTCTGGTTGCCGGAGTTGCTCATAGATGGCGGCAACCTTTCCAGTCTTTCGACTCTGGCTTGCCGACTTGTAACCGGCCATTACTTCATTCCAACCATAGTGCAGCTTCGCTGGTCTTCCTTCTTCACCAAAGTAAAGGTTGAAAGTTTTTTTTTTTTATTTTGGTTCGTCAAAATATCACCAAGTAACCTGTTAAAAAAAATTGTTCTCGGTTAAAGCATCTATTGATTAATTGGTAGATTAATCGACCGATTGCCGAGCACTACTCTTAATCTGTTTTTGCGCTGAAAAACACCTTAATGTGCAACTTTACTAGGTCGAGAAACACGGCCGCAGGAAGGCGCAGACGCGGCGAAGAACGCGTCTCCGACTGGTGTTTAGCGTTCTTCCCCAGCCCCCCCCCCCCCCCCCCCCCCCCTCTACACGCATCGAAGGTGTGGTCCCGAAGTGGCAACAACCGACGTCACGGAAGGCGTGTGTCATGCCGTGGAATGTCGCGATCCTAGCGGTTAGTCGTAGAACTTTCGACAAAAGGCACAAACAAAGGCGATTGTCGCTGTAGTCGCGAGGTCCCAACTCCTGGCTGCCGAAGCTTCTGGGGCCTGTGAAGCTGTGTAGCAGCGACCTGCGGCAGAAAAGGCGCCTGGCACACCCACCACCGCTGCCGTGACACCGCCAGGATCGCAGTCGGCGACGACAACACACTTCTGTGACGTCATCAGGCAAAAATCAAGGGACCACTTTTTTTTTTGACGCGGTAAACACACCGCTTGGAGCGGGCAGCGTTTCACTATGCATGGCCTCTGAGATCCCAAAGCTCCCGAAGCGCGCGAACGGGATCTCGGAGGCCATGCACTATGCGGCGTAACGCGGACGCTGTCACTGGTGGCGCTATCAACCAGCTGTCAGGTCGGAGCCACGCGCTCCCTAGTGTCACTATATGACGCTCCCTATGCGGAGCGCAAGTTCGTCTGCTTTTTGCGCAGGGGATGCAGTGACGTCAAAACGCCGAGCTCTGATTGGCTCTGATTGGCTCTGATTGGAAGGATAGTAGGTATAGACCACAAGGCAGCTAACATTGAGGTCTACCCATTACCCTTCCAATAAGAGCCAATTAGAGCTCGCGGCGTCCTGACGTCACCACAAACCATGCAAAAGTAGCAGACGAACTTACGCTCCGCATAGGCGTCGCACGTTTCCACTATTGTTTACACTACTCTTGCTTCGTCATGCCTTTTTCGGAGTTCTTATCGGGGAATGTCACAATCTCTTCGACTGTGGAAGGGTTCACGCTCCGGTCTCCCCACGCCTGAAGTGACTTTAGCCACGCCCAGCGTTTCTTGTGCTGTCAGAAACAGTTGAGCTCTCTGACGTCACGCCACTGCGGTGGCGCTGCTGTCGGTAGTGCGCGTGCGCAGACGCTTCATCTCTCGCGAATTTGGTTCTTGCGCATGCGCAGTCCCCACATCCAGTATGGGCAAACGCGGGCTTTTTCGTAAACTTCGCGTTGGTGTACATCTGGAAAATGCTGATACTCTAGCAAACAGTTTGATTTTAACGCGATAGCGTTAAGGAGCTCGTGTCGCGCCGGACTCGGTGGCGTTACAGAAAAGCCGGCGTCGGTGGCGTGACGCGAAAATCCTGATTGGTCGATAGGGTCATGACGTCACAGTCACATGACCACGCGAGGGAATTTCAAACAAACCACAACGTGCATGTGAAACGTGACGCCACGCGTGGATTGAAAGTGATTAAAACACATGATATGTAATGCGAATTAAAGATCGCCACATGTCTCAAATGATTTCACTTTAAAAAGTAATTTATTTGATTTAAAGAGAAAAATTGAAGAATTGTATGGATGCGAACGCACGACCCTTCGGTTACGAGGCAAAGACGCTCCTGACTAGGTCACGCAAGCCACGCTTGCACGGCGAATGAGAAGGCGATGCGACCGGGGCCCGCTGTCGCGTTCCACTCTTTTGTTGGATCGAAATAGAAAAGGATGTTTTGTTTTGTTGTTTACCAATAGGCGACCTTGTAATGCCGGAGTCCCACTAGAGCGACGGACAGAAACGAACGACAGCAACAAGCCTCAAACCAGAGTCTTTCGCCATTTGACAGGCTTTGTAGAATAAAGGAGGCAATGCTCAAACACGAGCATCATACACGCGAGGGTATCTTTGAGATGCTCGCAATCACTCGTGCTTACTTCACGAGCACCGAACGTCTCAACGCCTGCCAAAGGTACCATCGCGAGCATGCTGCATCTGTTTGAGGCTTGTCGCTGTCGTTTGTTACTGCTTGTCGCCCTGGTTGGGCTCGGGCATAAAAGGAACGGGACTCCCACTGACCTTCATTGCTTTGTATAGCTTCTCGGCGAAGTAGTACTGAATGTTGACGACTGATTTAACTGCAATGAAAAAAGACACTTTAAACAAGACACATGAAGCGAACGCTCGACGATGATATTTAACGAGCAACAATACAATACAATTTTATTTTTACGCAAGCCATGCGTGACGTGGCAGTAGCGGTACGGGGGAAAAAAAAGTAATCTGACGAGAAGACATTTTGGATGTTCAACGATGTTCACTTTCCAAGAGAGGCAAACGACTATTCTTCTCTTTTTTTTTTTTTTTTTTTTTTTGCTTTTTGTTGCTGACATTATGATTTTACATTTCGTAAAATACCGCGAGATTAAGGTTAACGTATCTTCGAAATGCCAGGTTATTTAAGGTGCCGAGTATACTTGCTACGGTAAAAGTCATTTTAGAACCTTCAGAATAAATGTCTATCTTGCCCCCACAATTTCGCGCAAAGGTCGCAGTAAAGCAATAAAGGGTTTATTTTTAGCAACGCTGTTTTCCTTCCAGAAAGGAGTCGTTTTCTCTAAGTATATTATACCGCAATATCGCTGTTAACGCGCACTAAAATTCTTATTAGCACAACTATATTTTCCGGGCGAAAACCGTTGTTAACTGCATTGTCCAGAGGAACTTGCAAGTGTTATTTCGAGTTTATTGTTAATTACGTTCTTTTTCTTGTTCTAGTCTCAGGAAGTGATAACACGTGTTGACATTTGTACTGCTAGAGTCTAGAGACGTGTTTCGATTACAGTATTTATTTTTATCGTTCTCTTTAATTGTAGATTTATTGTAAGCCTGATGAATGGTATTTTTAATTTTATTTCTATTGCATACTTTATGCGAACTTGTACTCCATATCCGTCGCAACCCCTTTTAGGGGGTGTGCACTATAAATAGATAATAGTAAAATAAATCAGCAGGCACTGAATTTGTACGACAAACTTTATTGCGGTAGAAATTTTAACGTTGGCTATTTTAGCTCCTGCCTGGAATATCTCAATTGGAGAGTAAACTGGGTATGCCGCTGGGTCTCATCTCTATGTCTAAAGCCTCCTCCTTGGAAGCGCGTATTAAATTTCGACAGGGACCGACTGATTATGAACGACAGTGCTGGTGAATGATTTCACGCGAGTCTTACACTTTTAGGGCGGATTAACACCGACTGCGTTACGATCGCTCGTGGCAGCATACGACGAGGGAACACATTGACGCCACCTATCGGGCAGTCCTAAAACAGTCCCGATCGGCGTATGTTTTACGCATCATTCTTTCACCGTCAGCTCTACATAATTCTGGCAATGCTAGCCTCAGTTCACCCATTGAGCTGACAGTGAGATGGAAGCTATACTGTCGAGACCGGTTATAACGAAGTCAACAGGAATCGGAAATCACTTCGCTGTATCCGCTATTTCGTTATAACCGACTTCGGTTATAACGAAGTGCAAAAGGAATGGGAAATCGCGATCGCTTCGCTGTAGCCGCTATTTCGTTATAACTAACTTCGGTTATAACAAAGTGCAAAAGGGAATGGGAAATCGTGATCGCTTCGCTGTAGCCGCTATTTTGTTAAAACCGACTTCGTTATAACAAAGTGCAAAATGGAATGGGAATTCGTGATCGCTTCGCTGTAGCCGCTATTTCGTTAAAACCGACTTCGTTATAACCGGGCCTCGACAGAACATGCTCGATGGACCGGTCACGTGAGATCTTGGGCAGAAAGCGGGGTCAGGCGATTAAAAATGGAGGCGGTTGATTGACCCGGCGGGCTCGGAGCCTCCCACCGCACTGTCAGCGTACGTGTGAACGAGGTTTGTAAGCAGCCATTCCTCGTACATAGTGGGTAGATTCGATCGCGCAAGTACTGAAAATCTCTCCGTTTGGTTATACGCGGATCGGAAAGAGTTCCAAGGTCACCCGACACAGTGAAATCTCGATAGTATGAACTCCGTCATAATATGGATACTCGGTATACAGACTATAGGGGGGAAAAACACACACAAAAAAAACAGGGTAAATATGTGTATTTTTGTGTCGTTGTTATAGACAACTGACATTATAACGAGTTTTCCAGGAAGTGGAGGTGTCCATATTTGAGAGTTTTGCACATCCGATATGGCACGATGGGCCCTCCGGTGGGAACTGCGCATGCGCTACCGCAGAAGTCTCGCGCATGCGCAGTTCGTGCCAGAGGGCCCATCGTGCCGTATCGGATGAGCAAAAACGGTTCTCTAAAAGTCTCTATATTAACGGGACATGACCGTGGATGGCGGCATTGTCGTAACCCTACCTTTTACATACAAACGCAAACGTGTGTGAACCAGTCTTCGAGGCAATGGTGTGACCCTGGAGCCTTCGTATTCAAGTGTATTGGTTTAAATCGGTTTTTACGCTCGAGAGACGCGGTGAGAACCAGCCTTCGCACAAACGCCAATCTGCGAGCTATCCTTTAGGGGTGGTCGGTCGCGAGCAGGATCGAAGTTTCATGCCTCAGACGGGTATACGTATACCGATGGCGAGGAAGGCTGCCCTGAGGTCTCCGCTCATCTCAGAGTTGATGGCCTCCATGATGGTGTGGTTGGTGAGCGCGTGGTACTCCCTGAACACCAGCTTCAGCTGCTCGTAGCTCTGGGAGGCCAGGATCCGATTGAAGGTGGACTCGTCCGTGCCCCAGCGCGCCGCACCGGCCTGGTGCAGCAACTGCGCGCCCAGCATCAGCATTTTATACACTGTTCGCAATTTTATAGTCGCCAAAAAAATGAGAACAGCAGGGAGGAGGAGTTTCATTTGTCCCGCCCCCAGCGCGAGCTTCCTGCCTTCGGCAACACTCTAAGAAATCTGGAGCGTCTGTTTTCCCGCAAAGCACTAGGGAGAGCAAACCACCGAAATTTATACGTAGCCAATCGGCCAATGGCTGAAAATATCTTTAGGCCTAATGGCGCGTTCACGCCTGCGGATGCACGGGCAGATCCGCCCAGGCCGAAAGTGGATTTTGGAGCCGGCTGGCGAAATCGACTCGTTGCTGGCGGAAAATCGGGATCAGTCCGGAACACATATCCAGTGACCGAGTCGATTTCGCCATCAGGCTCCAAAATCCGCTTTCCGCCTGGGAAGATTCACCCGTGAATCCGCAAGTATAAACGCGCCATAAAACAAAAAATGCAGCCCGTGGCGTGGCATTGAGCTTTACGATGACCACCGTCACAATGTAGGCTGCTTTTTGTGTGTGTGTGTCAGAACATATGTTCAGCTTCTTTATTCGCCGAGATCGCTCCGTAGATTGCGGGGATTGGCTCTTCCTAAAGTTCCTCGATAAGAGAGGCGTACTTTGTGCTTCCTACGAGCCTTACGTCATCCTTTAAAGCGCCAACGGCGTAAAGGTGCAGGTTTTAGAAAGCGAATGGCGGCCAACACCAGCAGCAGAAGAATGGCCCCCAAGTGCTTTGCGGAAAAGTAGACACTCCAGAGTTCTCAGAGTGAATGCTTCCGCGTCTCATAAATCTCATTAGCTTAAAAAAGAAAAAAAAAAGTCGTTGTTTGATGGTGAAGATACGCTAGAGCAATCATACTTTCTCAGGCGACCTAAAAGTCTGAGCCCAATAAGATTGGAATGAACCTCCGCACCAATCACTCGCGTTTGGTTGTAAGTCACATAATGTATACGTTTACACACACACAAAAAGAAATGATGATGTAAATCAAGAGCGCGATTAAAAACGTTAATACCTGGCCGGGATACAAACTTACGTGAGCGTCGTTCCTTGCGCGAAACGGATCCGGAACCAACCCTTCTTCGCGAGCTCCCTAATTAGTCAAAAGAAAAAAAAAAAAAAAAGAAAGAAAAAAAAAGCATGATAAAACTTTTTTTAATTGATCAGGCAACGTTACTTGACACAATCTGCCCTCAGCGTAACTAATCTGCTCTGGGTTGTTACCGTTCAGTATTCCACATGGATGTACAGATAACGTTTCGGATATTCCAGAAATAACAATGTAAGAAAAGAAAGCACACACACAAAAAAAGCTGGAAATGATTTCGATTGTCGGTGTTATCTTGTGCCATTTGATAATGTTTTTACGATCTGGCTGGGGCTCTTCAAACCCGAAGTTGGGGCCGAAGCTACGTAGCGCGCGGATTGAACTCTCCCGAAGATGAGGGAGCTTTTTCGTCGCAGAAATCTAATCGGCCCCAAGGCCAGCTTAACGTCCACAGCGCTGCAGACCCGCGCTGCTGTGAAAATACTTGGCGTTATCTTGCGTCTCAATCGCACGTGCTCGCGCAACTATACTTTGACTGGGGTGGAGTACAGTGGAAACTAGGCTAGCCTTGGCGACGTAGCACCGAAATAGTTGGCGCCGAGAATAGGCATGAAACTAAATTGTACAAACGTATGTTATCAGCGCGGCGCGTACACGTTGATAAGGCGGGCTCTTTTATCACCGAGAGCGGTGTCGAGACAGATAACACGCCCTTCGGCGACATCTGCTTTGACAGAGCTGAAGCACTGCGGATGGCTAGGCTAGCCTTGGCAACGTGGCACGAAATAGTTGACGCCGAGTGTAGTCTATATGGCCCCTGGGACTCACATTGTTCGTAGAAACATATTGTACGTTTTAGGATTTAGTTGGAAGTTGCCAGTGGACGTGGTGCTGTTCCACCACAAGCTAGGCTTTAGATGTTAGGTTTTGGGACCACCAAAGTTACCTTAACTTTTTTTTTTCAGTCGATAGCATATTGTTGTTTTATTTTTAACATATTTTACTTGTTCAACTTGCATTTGATGAAGGAGGGAAAGACTTCATGTTAGGTTTGTGTGCAGCAACTCCTTGTGGATAAACAAGCGTATGGTAACACGATAACTGTGGACATTACATATGCGCAGAGGGCTATACAGAAGAAAGGGGTCAGCCGAATGCCCATATTTTTGCCGTTAAACGCCGAAAAGACGCCATTGCCGCGGAGTGACGTCAAAAAGATGACGACTTATTCGTGGTGAAAAGCTCGCTAGGGGCGCGCGCGCTTCTGTTTTCCTCACTATGGGCAGTGTACGTGCTAGCCGCGCGATTATGTTTTACTTGTCATAGTACATAAAAGCTTGGCATTGCACGTGCTTGGACTTGCAGAGTAAGTTGAAGTATCCTCACTCTGGGTTGTGAAGAAATTCCACCAAGCGCCGATACCAGAACTTCTCCGCAAATAGCTCGCTCGATTTCCTGCCTCGGGATGAACTCTGAATGTTACCAATAGCCGTGCTCTGGATACTATGCGTGGCATCACGGTCTACGAATTGTACTTACATTACACATGGATACCAGGACCCTCCTAAAATGACCAGACGTGTCTCCGATGATGTCTCTTTCCAAGTCCTTGTTGAAGACTGCGCAGTAGAGACATATGTTCCGTAGAAAGACTATCTGAATGATACAGCGGGAACATCCGGTGCAGAGCAGCAAAGGCTACGCTCTTAACAAGTAATTAGATTACACAGCTACCTTAGATAAAGCGTAATGAAGTTACAAGCACAGATATCACTTAATGTTGGTCTAGTGACAGTTACAGACACTCAGAAAAGTACGTAAAGGACGTTCCAATTACCTTTAAAAAATTCCATGATATTGATGTTTGTAGCGAATACTGACTGATTGTTCAGCTTACGGGGCAGACCAGAAAGTAACATGTATCTCTTTTGATCCAGCACTCTTTTTATGACACAATTTCTGGCATGGACAGGACACGTAGCAATGATTTGGAGACTTACCGATGCGAATACGTGTATTTGTCAGCATGATAACGATAGGGGAACTAATTTAACCGATTTCTAAGTTACTCCAAATTGTAACAAAGTTGAATTTACAAGAGCTTTAACGTGAGCACTGTTGAAGCTATCACGGGAGTGCAGAACCAATTGAAGGTTGCGTTTCATGAGCTATAACAAGCCCGATTTTTTCTTGTAATGCTTTTAATTCAGTGTTTCTTAATTAAGACTCACGGAGTTTATTTTTGGAAAGTCGGTCTAGAACTCTTTGAAAGAATAGTATAAGGTCAAAGAGCCATACGTATGGATGCATCTGTTCCCCTACAACGACTCCGTCGCACAGAATCCGCAGAATATATCTTTGGCAGTGGCGGCGGCTGACTGAACATCGCTTCTAAAAATCTGCGCTACCATTGCAGGCTGCCCCTGATACCACACGCAGCTGGAACACGCGGTCCTCAAGCATCTTCATCGAGTGCGATCAACCACAAGCAAAGCCAGCGCGTAAACAACTACGTGCAAGTCATCTTCGACGGAGCGTGGGAAACTGCTACTGGCCAGTTGGACTGTCACCCTAGCGACACCTAGCTACAAAGGAGGAGGCGCTACACGTTCTTTCGGCACTTTGGCAGTGGCGGCGGCTGACTGAACATCGCTTCTAAAAATCTGCGCTACCATTGCAGGTTGGTTATCGTTGCTTACACTTTTTATCCACTGTGTATTACTGTCGTCGCTGCTGCCAAGCCCTTTTTGTTGTCCGAATTTTTATTGTTGAGCCCTCTACCTTCACTGTCACCCTGCTTTTGTTGTGCGAATTTTTATTTTTGAGCATTCTTTTCGCCATGACCAAGGACATAACTAAATTGCTTGCTGAGCTTAAAGATGATCTAAAAAAAGAACACAAACTGTTTCGAGAAACGTTTGAACGCGATTTCAGGACGGAATTTCGTACCGTTCAGTCGGAACTTCAGGGCATAAAGGCTAGCATGGACTTCATAAACAAGGATTATGAAGACATGAAAGCAAAGTTGAAAGCAGCCGAGGAAGCAAACTCCGCTTTGGAAAAAAAAAACTGTCGGTCTTCAAGAAAAGTATGACGTCATGCTCAAGACCGCTCGTGAAACTGAACTGAGACTCATTCAATGCGAGCAGTACTCCCGTAATCGAAACCTGGAAATAAAGGGGATTCCACGAGTTGAAAACGAGGACGTTATGAATCTAATCAGTACTATCGGCGAACTGGTGGGCGAGAACATTGCAGTTTCAGACATAGACATATGTCACCGAGTGCCAACCAGAGACCCTGGAAAGAGTAACTTGATCGTGCAGTTTCAACACAGGCACACGCGTGACCTGATTCTTGAAAAGGCAAAGAAAAAACGAATCACTACTACAGATCTTGGCTTTGATACAGCCGCGCCTGTGTTTGTGAATGAACACTTATGCCCCCCTCTTAAACGGCTACTGGGAATGACCCAGGCTAAAAAGCGAGAGTGCCAATGGCGATATGTCTGGGTTCGGAACTGCAAAATCCTGGCACGAAAATCTGATGACGCTCCCGTTGTTACTATCACTCATGAGGATGACCTTGCTAAAATATGTTAGTTGATTTCTAAAACTAGTACTTTTTTTTTTCCTTATGAACTATCACGAATTAGTTCTACCAACTGATATTGCAAGTTGTTGTGGTACAAAGGATATCGCTGTTTTTCATCTAAATACCCGCTCCGTAAAAAACAAAGTTGATGACATTGTCACTCTTTTTGAGATGTGTAAAGTTACTTTTGACGTTATAATGTTTTCTGAAACTTGGTGTCAGTCTGACCAGGATATGCTAATCTTACCAGGCTATAATAATTTTTCTCTTAATAGAAGTGAACGCAGAGGGGGTGGTGTTTCAATCATGGTAAACCGGGAGTTTCAGTGTGAAAAGCTGCTTTCGTTTACGGAAATCACGGAGAACTATGAAATTTTGAGTTTGAAGTGTGAAAATAAACTCTTTTCTGTTGTTTATCGTCCGCCTTCAACAGATTTCGGCAAATTTTTTTCTTTTTTAGACACTTATTTGGAATTTGCGTCTGCAAATAACTTATCGGTTATCATAGGAGGTGATTTTAATGTGAACATGCAAGAAAACTCGAGTCTGTCACAGCAACTAAATAACATTATTACTTCTTACGGTTTTTTAAACGTAATCACGTCGCCCACTAGAACCACTGATTCGTCAAAAAGTGTGATCGACCTTTTTGTTACAAACGAAACTACACAAGTAAATAGTGCTGGCACTATTTGTAGCGACATTAGTGATCATACTCCAATTTTTATATCTTTCCGTGATTCGAACACAAAGGCTAAAGTAAAAAGAAATGTTTTTTCTTTCCAGTACATATCTGATCAAAGCTTACTGTCGTTTAGAAACGAGATTGCAAGCATAGATTGGACGCCAGTTACGTTACAAGCAAACATAGATGACTCCTACGATAAGTTCCTTAGCATTTTAAAAAAGGTTTATAACAGATGGTTTCCTTACAAAACAACTTCTGCATCAAAGAAAATTCGAAAGCCTTGGGTAACGCCTCTTCATCTTAAAAAAATCACGCATAAGAACCGTTTGTACAAAAATTTCGTTACTACAAGGGACCCGAGTAAATTGATAGTATTCAAAAAGTATCGCAATGCTCTGACGTCGGAACTCAAGAAGGCCAAACATGATTACTACAAAGCTTTATTCAGTGAATGTGCAAAAAAACGTCCAGATGTCGTCTGGAAATCAATAAATGAAATTCTCCAACCCGGCAGACAACATAATTTTTTAGGAGAGCTCCAGGTAAATGGAAAATTGCTGTCTGGAACCTCGCTTGCTGAATGTTTTAACTCTCATTTTGTCAACCTGGCCTCGAGTTCATACTGCGAGGATGCAGTAGAAGGCATTTATCAAAGGGTTAGTGAAACCCTGTTTCTTGATCCAACAAGCGAACATGAAGTGTTTCGGGTATTTATGGGCCTAAAAAACAGCAAAACGTGTGATATTGACGACCTTCAAATAAAACCAATTAAATTTGTTCTTGATATAATTACACCATGCCTTGTACATATTTTTAATCTGTGTTTATCGTGCGGAAAATTCCCGCAAAAAATGAAGCTTGCAAAAGTGTCCGTGATATATAAGGGTGGAGATAAGAATGTTCTGTCAAATTATAGACCCATATCTGTTCTGCCTGTTTTTTCAAAGGGACTCGAAAAAATCATTTTTTTGTCGTCTGAATAGTTTTTTGTGCAAACACTCTGTAATCACAGAATCTCAGTTTGGCTTTAGAAAAGGAAGATCTACCGAATCTGCGCTTCTTTTGCAAAAAGAAATCATATTACAAAATATAGAAAGCAAACTCTTGACACTTGGCATCTTCATTGATTTTAGTAAAGCCTTCGACTGTCTCAATCATGGCATACTCATTGACAAACTAAGTAGGTATGGTATACGCGGTCCATCACTTTCACTTCTGTATTCTTACTTATATGAACGTAGGCAATCTGTAATCATCGATGGTCACTTCTCATCACTGTTGCAGATTAAGTATGGCGTGCCACAAGGTAGCATTTTGGGTCCGTTGCTCTTTAATATTTATATCAATGATCTTGTGAATATTTCCGAAAATGTCAAATTTGTCTTGTATGCCGACGACACCAGTCTGTTCCTCAGTGACGCGGATGCGGATAACCTAATAACCAAAGGAAATTTAATTTTGTCTAGATTTTTTTTGTGGTCGCGAATAAATGGCCTATATATTAATGATACAAAAACAAAGGCAATTTTATTTAAACCGTCCAATAAACAGGTAAATATAAATGAAACTCTCCATTTTCAATCCACGCCGATTGAATTAGTGAAAGAACATAAAACATTAGGTATTATATTTTCAGATAACTTACAGTGGGATAAACACATAAACCAGGTCGTCAGCAAATTATGCAAAATTGTAGGTGTGCTTGCACGTTGTCGAGCCATTCTCCCCGAAAAAATAAAACTACAAATATATCATGCATTATTTAAATCCCAAATATCCTATTGCCATCTCGTTTGGGGCACGACCACAAGGACAAATCTGAACAGAATATTATTACTACAAAAAAAAGTTTTGCGCTTTGTTGGAAACGTTCATTTCTTAGCCCACACAGAGGCTCTATTTTCACGATACAAAATTATAAATATACATCGTTTTTATGAGTACCTTTTGACTCGATCATTTCTTTTTTCTTCCCCTGAATCTATTAATTTTCTGAAACAGACATCGGGATTAATCAAAAACATACCCACCATCTGCACCCGCTACTCCGAGGAATGGAAAGTGTTTCCGTTTCGCACGAACTACAGTTACCAGTCTTTAAAACATAATCTACCCTCATTGCTAAACAAATATTGCGTAGATGACGTGGACATCTACAATATAAACCCTAAGTCATTGTACTTACTTTTTGTATAGAGCTGTTTTCGTTAACCTGTGAAACCTAGGTCTCTTTTATATATGTATTTTACGTATTGCTGTAATCTCTGCAGTTATTTTTGTATCGCCATAGCTGTCTGCCAAGTGCACGGGGCCCGGACCCCGTCAAGTCAACATTTGTTGACTTTTTGTCCGTGGCTCCGGCGTCTGTAACCCATACGGGTGCAAAAATAAAAATTATTATTATTATTATTATTATTAAAATATAAACAAAAATGCCGGGTTTTTTAATTTTATTTACAGGTGTTTTGTCTTCTCAGTTCCACTACTTACGATGGGATTCCGTTTCGCTTGGCGATTTACGGGACCCGGCGAACTGATTATTTGTCTTACAGGCCAATTGGATTCAAGCCAATTCAATTGGATTCAAAGCAATCCATTTGCCCAGTTAGTTGGAGTTTGAACTGAATTTGAACAGCTGAGCCGTTCAAATCTGAAGGCGGCAGCTTGCACAACCTAGACTCTGGATCAGCGAGCGCTTGCAACTGCAGCCATCAAGAAAATACTTGCGCAAAATGCAGAAACACTGCAATGAACGTGCCCCGAGTCGCGTTTATAAAAGGTGCGTACTCCGTTCACCGTTGAGCAGGGCAGGCAGTAGAAGTGCCACCCGGAACAGTCAACCGTCAGTCTTACATCTCGTGATCGTGCTCATTGCGCATACTCGTGCGCAGAGAGCAAGGTCAGGCGATGCGGAGCAGTCGGATTGGTTCGGTGCGTACACACGTAGCCGCCAAGAATGACCGAAACTTGCGCATTCGAACTTTAACGTCATTACAGTGAGAGCGGGCGAAGACAGCAGATTGGACACGAGTGTTACGTCAGCGTTCGGCTGGGCCTCGCGTCCAATCAACGCGCAGAAGAACGCTCGGCCTCTTGCTCGTGTCCAATTGTCGAGTTGGCGCCATCTGACTGTGATGGCCTTCCACGAAAGAAGAGGAGGACAGCGGTGTTGGTTATTTTAGGCGATGTACAAATTACTGGATGGATGGATGGATGGATGGATGCTAAAGGCTGTACTCCTTATATCGGGCGGCAGCTTGCGCCACCTAACCTAGATGGACATCACTTTTTTTTTTTGCCATACGTTGTTAAGGTTAGCGTAGTGTCCGCAGCGCTCCGACATGTTAAAGCGACTAGCGCGAGCGCGTCGTTTGACGTCTCCTTCGCACGGGAGCGCGTACGAATGCGACGCAAGACGAACTCGCGCGCTCGACCAGCAGTGCGGAGCTGCCACACTGTGGAAACCACGCCAGCCATGACAACGTCGCACATGCATGTCCCCGTCTTGCGCATCGCTGTTCACGGCGCGCCGAATTGGCGAGTCGCTCACTCTGCTGGTAGACCTGCTTGATGGCGTTGATGTCGCTGTTGGAGCGCGTGCAGAGGATCTCGACGAGGCAGTCCTCGTCGGTGCCCAGGCCCGCGATGGCCCTGCGCAGTTCGCGTGCCAGGTACTCGTGCATCGGGTACAGCAGCCCCACCATGACGTCTTCGAAGCGGCCGCGGAGCTCCGACCTGATGTCTTTGATGAGGTCCTGTTGTGGCCAGCACCGTTAAACAATTACACCGTGAAAAAAAAAAAAAAGATCTGGAGACTTTTTTGTATTTTGGCAAACCTCACTCGTGAGCGTCCTTGCTCACCTGTCACCCTCACCCCCTGGCGTAAGCTAATGATGAGTGAGTTCACAAGTTTGAGTGATGGGCGTGACTTCGGGAGGTCCGTGAGTTTGGTGATTTTATGGGTTCGGTAAACTCATAAGTTTGCAGGGTAGAGATTGAATATGAATGCGGCCGTGAAGGTAAGGGTGAGTGGGTTTTGAGTTTCTAGTCGTAAATATGAGAGTGAGGGAATGACAACATTTTACTATTTTGAGCGAGTTGTGAATGAGTGAGTTGAACCTGAAATTCCGACCTCTATTCTTTTCAAAGCTCTAAAACACCGCAATATGGCGGATCGGCTAACACCGCGATACATTTGCCACACAACACTTTGCGATGTTTTCGGATCTAAAAGAACTTATGAATGGCGCCAGCTTGAACCTAAGCAAATATTCGATTCAATTCAATTTAATTCAGTCCATTTTACACCGATAGTACAAAATTGGGATAAGGAAACGGGGCAAAAAGATGTGATAATGCAGCTTGACAGGTACCCTACCCCCTATATCTGTCAGTTTGGCGGGCGAAAAACCTAACAAAATATTTAAGCATAAAGTAACCCAGGTCATATATAAAAAAATAAATAATACACGGTTAGAGAAAAAACAATTTGGTGGTATAACGGCTTTCCGTTTGCAACTTTAGTGTGAACGCATTTCTCGTCTAAAAAGTTAAATTGTGTGGGTAGTGTGTACTGAAACACCTGTAGGCCGTAGTTTGTTCTGGGACGTGACGCTCTCTAAAAGTCCTATTGTGCGCGCCCCGTATTGCATACGGGGCGCGCACAATATATATATATATATAATTTCTTTACATCTATGTTGGCAGTTTGTTGAGACGGACACGCGGAAGAAAGAAATATACGTTCACATCCAGCGTGTATTCGTGTCTATAAGTCCAAGATGATCACATCCTCAACGCAATGAACCAACGAGATCACCTTAAATGCGTTTCTAACAAAAGGGGGAATCGATTTGAAAGGGGTATATCGATCTATTGAGCTGTGCTTGGTACTTTTAGTTTCGGACAGAAAGTATGTTGGAAGTATACGGTCCTCTTACGTTCCGGTAATCTGAGCGAATGCCCAACGTCTGGTGACGTAAGATGGCGTTCGTGGGGACCGCATCGATAGTAATCCATGGCATAACACAAAGAAGCCGTTTTTATTTGCACCCCCATCGTTATACGCCGGTGATTTGCCACAGCGAAGCCGGTCTGGCAAGCCAAAGCGAAGAAGTTAACGTCAATTTGAAGACACGCACAAATACTTTAAACTTCAGGATATCGACTAAAATATCGGTGCATTTAAGGCCATTTATGAGTTGGTATTCTAAATCTTCGAATATTTTCGAATTTTTTTTTAAATACTTTAAACATTTGTAGGCTTGTTAATTAATATGCTGTTTACAAGCAAGTTCCCTTTTTGCCGCCATGCGGGTGTACAGAAACCGGATTCGGGCGAAAGAAATCGTCTGCGCATGCGCTGCGTCGACAGCAACGCCACCGCAGTGATGTGACGTGACGTCAGACTGACGTCAGAGCCACTGATTGGTCGCAGATATCGAGTTCCTGCTCGCCGGGCAATAAAACGCGCGCGTTCTGCGCTACGCCGTGTTCGCTGCGCTCAACGTCGGAGCATAACAAAACCTTAAAAAAAACACCTGAAAACGAAAAAAAAACACGTTATTTTTTTAGTAGTCTCGTTGAGATACGCGTGTCTAGAAATAAATTTTACGCGAAAGAAAAATTTTAGAGCAATATTGAACGGCATGAGATTTATTTGAAATTTTGCGCGCGAAGTCCATGACGTCACGGGTCATTCCGGAATGACCATCTCGGTCGTGTCTACCGTCTCCGTCGGGCGTACCAACCAGACTGTTAAAAAAAAAAAAAAATGTTCTTAGGGTCCCTTTAAAACGCGGCAAAGTACAAAGAGAAAGCATTTCTCGCGTGCGCCGTACCGAGAGTTTCTAGAGCTATTATTCGACAACAGCCACCGAAAAAACAAAACTATTTGTTTTCCTAGAAGTTACATTTTGATTTCGCTCTATAATGTAAACAGAACTGCAACGAGGCCATTAACCCTAAAGCGCTGAAGCATTGCAGAGGGAAGTTAAATAAAAATGTTAGAAAATAAACAGATGCGGCAAAGTACACAGCAATGTGGAAACAATAGAAATGACGCATGCCAGAAAGAAGATAAAGCAAAAAACGGGAACATTAAAAACAACAGAAGAATCACCGAAACATAAATATACATGAACGAGGATTGCCGGAATAAAGCAAAACTCGGATGTAGATACGATCTCCGAGGAATAATGGTTCCAGTCGTCTGCTGCAATAACAAGAACAAAACAAGAAGTGTTCGCATTACAAGGGGTGCGCCTATTTTATGTTGATGGCCGACAGAGGAGCGATAAGAGAGGAATACTGAACAAATAACCTCGGAAAGATTGACGATGGTCAACTTCACAAAACAGGTGAGGTCAGAAACCTTTCTACGTCGTGACAAACACGGTTGGGACAAACTATTGTCAAGACAACTTAAAAATAAGCAGCGCTTGGCTTATAATGTTCACGCTTCTTGCGTCGTGATTCGTTCTTCAACGTTTTATCGGCCGATACCACAGTCTCATTGGCTGCGAAGCTGTGATAAAATTAGACTTCGTCAGTGTTATGCTGATTGTGTGATTATAAATAGAAAGATTGAGACGGCGAGGGTTGTTCTGAACTACCTTAATATAGTATATCCCAAGAGATGCCTCAGCCCCGAAAGATAACCCACCCCTATTTTTGGCAGGATTTGCGATTTTTCAGAACCACCGAAAGGTAGCCCACTTCTAGTAATTGCAGGGCCCTGGCCAATGGTGACCTCAGCAGATAAGCGAACATTGCTCTCTGGAAAGGACAGCTTTTGATGTGGGGACCAGGTAAATAATGGAAAAGAAATTGTCCCCGTCCGTTCCCGCGTGAGCACTGCGGACTAAGGACGGTCGTTTTTGGTTAATCGCCCCTCCCTGCAACCACAAGTTTCGCAGATCACAAAATCTAAAACTAGCATTTTTTTTTATTGTACACCGAAAGCTACCCTATTCCATAATTTCACCCGATTTGCTTTCGCTTTTAGGTGGGCGATCTCTCGGGATATTAAGGTAGTTTGACAGCCTCAGGAAAATCGGCGTGGTTCGGATCCCTAAATGAAGGCAACGTGTTCTACTTTAGAGTGTATACAATTTTGGTGAAAACCGAGCCTTGAAAGTTTATTGGAGATGCTCCGTGGTCCCGACGAGTTCACGTTTCGCGAATTTGTTGACTCGTTTGGCATACCACAGAACTCTCAGTCACTCTGCGTCTACGCAGCAACAAGGCAGCGTAAAATGGTGGGCATCTAAAATTAACTATTCTTAAGTTGTATAGAGCTATCCGATACGCATTGAAATTAAATAAATTTCAAGTTACACTGATCCTTCAGTCTAATATGTCCCCGCCCACTTTAGGGTACCTCGAACGGCATTATAAATTAAAACCGGAAAACTTACCCGACCGTGGCATTGCTTGTACATCGCTACGATCTGCATTCTTTGGTCGCTTGATCGCTTGCACAGGATTGCGATGATCGCCTTCTCGTCCGTTCCTAAAATATGTAATAATATTAATAATGCAAACTCGTACGAGTTATTGTGGAAGTTTGATTAAGTGCACGAAGGGAATCGCGCCGTTCTTCACGGAAAGCATCTTTTCAGTGTGAGGTACTTCGAGGAACGACGAGACTTCACTGCCTTAGTGTGGTTGTTTCATATGAAGAACCAGGGGCTGATTTAGCTTGCGTGTCATCATCAACGACAGAGCCGCATGATGCGCTTCCTTCAATTCCAGATTATTGAGGACAAGAAATTATTTCTATTGTTTTAGAACGGAAGTTGAAGAATCTAGTTTTATAAATTCAACAGTTGTGTGACTGCGATTTATTGTATACAGCAGGAAGACACAACAGAAAGAAAATTAGGAAGTACAAACAAGGAAGCTATTGCTTGCTACTGTTCGTTTGTTCATTTGTCTTTGTTTGTTTTCTTTCTGTGTCTTTCTGTTGTGCCCCTGTCCTTTTTGAGCTTTTGTATCTTACCACGAATTACAGACTCGTCCTAGCCTCCACCTTAATAACAAGATTTATTGATTTTTTCCTTCTCGAAATTGGTAAAACTTTTAAAATAAAATTTGGTAAGCGATTTCGTGAATGTATACAGTAACCTCTATCAGGACACATTATATGGAAAATGTAACTGCAAAAATATAAAAAAGGCGCTGTTTTGATAGTGATGGCGTTTCACAACGTACCAAATCCTTTCATGGCCTTCCTCAGTGCATTTGCGTCCTCAACAGCGTTGAAGTTGCGATGCGGCCTGATGGTTCCTTGCTGTTCCCAACGAGACACACAACCGACGAAAAGTGGCTCTGAGTCACTGACATAAAATAAACAAATTATGCGTACTGTGAAACTACACGATCAAGGTCCATGAAGGGGAGTCAGCTTTAAAATGCTCAGCTATACAAAATAATCGGAGAAAAAAACTAATTTATAATTCCAACTAGGACGACACTGCTCCAGATGAATAGCAGTTTGCAAAACTATATCGTAAACAACATGATGTGTTTTGTTAATTTATCACCTCGCTTTTAATTTTGTTGTTTAAGATGCAACAAAGAGAATGCGCGCACACACAAACACGCTCAAAAGGTATACAGCGAGAGACCATTCGCTGCGAGAAGTCTCAATCACGTGCATGGTGAGCATGACTGAGCTCACCAAACCACGCAGACGTCTCAGTGGTACTGTCAGCAAAGTCTTGCCATAGGATGTTGCGGGAAAACGAAAACGCTGACGTCATCTTCGTTGGGAGCAACTCTTGCCTAATTGCCCTCTCGCTTACAAACAGACGACCAGTTCCTCGCTCACCGCACACGGCCGATTGTATCAGCCCTTTATTGAATCCAATGACGAGGCGCATTCGGAGCATGTATATGTTTATCTGAATCCAAGAGCGAATACGATGTTGTCTGTCGCGTTAACGAGACGTTAACTCCGGTTCATTTTCAAATGTGTAGGCACGTGACTGGACATTCCTGTTCATTTCAAGACAGAAAGGAACGAAAGTCACGTAGAACGTCGGAAACGTAAGGCGTTATTATGCCGCCAGTCAACGTTTCATCGTCACTGGCAGCCAACATTATTGCAAAAATCGAAACTGACAAAAAAAAAAAAAAAGAGGGACGGATTACAAAAATAGGTGAATGCATGCATGGTCACGCCATGTGTTTCTTAAATGGACCATGAAATAAATTTTAGGCTTGTATAAATAATTTCAGCTGGAATCTTACTAATCACTATCGTTTAGTGGGCCAAAGGAAACAGGGTAGAAAGCCAAAAACCTGCTTATTGGTGCGGAAATTAAAAATAAAATAAAATATAGCGGACTATTTCGTACGTCCTTTCCTTCGAAAGATTTTCGCCTTTTCACTGTGAGAGACCCGCGGTACCCAAAGCCCGTCAGCCTGCCCCAGCTCACGCATTGGACACCAGCACTGCTTCACTTGGATGTATATACTGTACATATACGCTCGTAAACCATCAATCTGTCGACGTATATTTGGATTCGCGTTCGTGGCCAATGAGTGCAGTGACGGCACTGGTATGCGAAATCGGGGTTGTGTAAATGTTTATACAGCCTAGAGCTTGGTCTGCCTCAACGGGCGACGAGTCTCCCAGCTGTAGATGAGAAATTTAGCCAGTGCAGTACAACCGCTAGCCTGGGGCCTTTAGCCTGCGCCACACAGTAACGATACACGACCGCACTCCGGTACGATGCTCATCCAGATCGAAACAGGCAGAATCCTGGGTTCTGCAGCGCGACCTTTCGCCCCACGTGCTCCAAGCTGGTGTGCGCTAGCCCATGCACTCGGCCACCGACCTCCCTTTCATCGCATGAGAATGACAAGTTCCACGGTGTGCTTACAAAGTGCTTTGTAAGCACACCGTGGAAGCTTGGAGTCATCGTACGAGTGCCCAAACACGTGACGACCACGTGATTTCTCATTTCGCTTTTGAGTTGAGCATGAAAGCTAAGGAGGAAGAAGTTGAAAAAATCATTTGATGGCCCCTTTAATTCTACCGCCCAGTGACTTTAATTGGCTATGTTCGCAAATTCAACTGCTGATGGAGTCAGATGGACCGATTACGTCGGAAAATAAGTTTCACTTTGCCGCGGACCGCAGTATAGCGGTAACGGGTCTGCAGTGCAACAATCGATGTGGCGTGCATAAGCTGCGATAGTGCATTATTTGTCGATCGTCGATGCCTTAGTCATCCGCGGAGCAGGTGAATTTTCTATGTAATTTTGTGCCCGCAAAATTGTTCCAACTGCAGCCAAGACCCACTGCACGACTGCTTACGGAAAGCATAATCACGAAGCGCAAGGCAGTGTTGCCTTCTTTCCGTATTTCGTATCACTATTTAGAAGGGGGGGGGGGGGGGGGGGGGATCGGTGACTAAGTGCGTAAACGCACTGCACAGCTCGGAGCGCGTGGAGCGAAAGCTCGCGCTGCAGAGCCCACACTCTAAAAAAGCCCGTGCGTCTAGTTTTCCGCACAACACTAGGAAAGTCAATCGCATCAACTTACGGAGGCAGCTCAGTGAATGACGATGCCAAAACATATGTTTAGAGTCTTTAGGCCAAAAAACGCAGTCTGAGTTGTGACATTAAACAATGCAAGCGTGACGTTTTGCATTGCTTAATGTCTCAGACTGCCCTTTTTTGGTATAAACATATGTTTCGGCATTGTCATTCGCCGAGCTGCCTCCGTAAGTTGCAGGTGTTGTGCAAAAAAGTATACTCACAAAGTTTTTTTTTTTTTTTTTTTAGAGTGCAGAGAACTTAGTTTTAATCACGAACCCTCCTCGTTGCTGTCTGGATGAGCACCGTACCGGCGTGCGAGCTTGTACCACTACTGCTGGATGCACGCTAAAGACCCCTAGGCAAGCGGTTGTACCGCACTGGCTACATTTCTCATCTACTGCTGAGACACCAGACGCGTACTGAAGCTGACTAACTTCCTGCTGTCTAAGCATACCCACAACCCAATTACAACAAAATCGCTATTGGTGCATTCTGCCTAATGACATATTCTCACTAGTCGTGAAGTTCAGGGCGTGTCGAATACAGAGTATCTCGTTTTATCTCGACAGCCAATGAGCGTGCTGCATTAGCCAATAGGAATGTCGAAGAACCAATCACGAAGCAATAGGTGTGTACAGTGTACATAATATGCCGCACCCTACTGAAGCTGTCAGGGACTCTGAGAAAGTGTCTGTATGCACCTTGTCAGCAACGAATCCGATTGAATGCAAGAAACTGGAGACAAAAGTACATATATTTGTTAACGAGCGAACCTGTCGCTAGAGTGCTGCTTTTGGTTGTTTGTTCACCCACGGCCGGTGACTGCGGACACTGGGTATAGACCTTTGCAAAAATAACCTTCTGCGCGCTGCCATCTTTGTCTGCAGGGCTGGGGAATGCCTTCTGAGCATGCGCTATTGCTATGCTGTGCGGTATATCGGACGCTGCGCATGAGTCCACAGCTCAGTGACTCGGGATTTTTCGCTCGTGTAATGAGATGCAAAGGTCTATAGGAAAGATAGTCGCCATGTGCAGAACAGAGTTCATCATGGACTGGTTTTGGGTTAGCTTAGTTATTTGTGTGTCTTCCTTGCTTCTGTCGGGCCGCTCATGTTCGTGGTGATAAAGTGCGTACCGAGGCTGAGGGCTTACGGTCTTTCTTGCATCATTCGCTAAATAATTCCAGAGCCACATTAAGCACCTTGGTGACACATATTGCTGGTCGCGATTAATTGTACAAAGCTTGGGCTATGTATGAATTATTGTCACTAAAGTATGCCTTTTATATGCTTTAAGTGCCTATATGTACTGCAGTACATATAGGCACTTAAAGCATACAAAAGGCATACTTTAGTGACAATAATTCATACATAGCCCAAGCTTTGTACAATTAATCGCGACCATCCTTGCTATGGCCGGGCTATGCATATTTCATGTTGTCCTGGCGTGCGTGTAACGTTTCTTTATCAAAGTGGAGCGTTACAATTTTCACATGAAAATTGTAACCCATTAGCGCATTTTGTGTTAAAGGAAAAATAAGAAACATTTGCTTGCACGTTTTAGAGTAGAGCGCTTCACCTGTAATGGAGAGGTCCCGGCTTCGATACCCGGACCAGGCGGATTTTTTCGGTCGCTCACCAGTCACCTAGCTGTGTTTGGAGATTTATGTTTGTCATTTGTCCCCCTTGTTCCCCTTCTCCAGGGATTATTTTCATCATCAACGTTTTAGAGCGCAGCTTTCAGGCGCCCGTATCCACGTTGAGCGGCGTCGGAGTCGCCGTCGGCATAACCACGCGCGTTGCATTATGGGACGTTACAGTTTCCAAGCTAAATTTAGCGGAAAAACTGAATTGGTGTTGAGGTAATGTGTCGAGAGTTTTACCGCTAAATTTAGCGGGGGAAACTGAATGCGCAATGTTGTAATATGGGACGTCACAGACCTACACCCCAATTCAGTTACCCCGCTAAATTTAGCGGGGAATCGAATTGGTGTTGAGGGCACGTAACGTCAATTTTTACGGTAAATCTAGCAGAGAAACTGAATTTTATTATAGGTGAAGTAACGCCAAGTCATGTGACGTCATTTTTCCCGCTAAATATAGCCGGGAAATGCAACTGGTTTTGAGGTCACGTGGCGTCAATTTTTCAACTAAATTTAGCGGGGAAGCTGTGGGAGTATGGGAGGGTATGAAGGAGGATGAGGGAAGGGCACGGAGGAGAACGAGGGGAGGATAGGGAAGAGGAGGAGGGGAGGATGGGGAAGAGGAGGAGGGGGTACGGAGGAGAAGGGTACGAAGGAGGTAGAGGACACGGAAGAAGAGGAGGGAGCAGAACCAGTATGTGGGGAGACTGATCTATATTTGTGCAGGTGTAATTTTTCATACTTTTAGATATGTTTTAAAAAAGCCATGAAAAGATGCACTTATGCGGTTTGTGCAGGTGTGTTATACGGCTAGGGGTCGCAACTATCAGTGGGCTAATGAAGAAGAAGAAAAAGAAATAGATGGTGCTATGGGGCATTTGGCATAAAGTAAAAATTGTTAATTAACTTTTTAATTAGTGCAAAATGCAAATAGGCATATAGTTCTAATTAGAAACTTGCTGAGCATCGAAAACCACTAAATCGTCTATATTTAGAAGGATATAACGCCGGGGCAGCATTTTACGGCGTTCTTTAAAAACGCTTCTTTCGGACGCGTTTCTAGATTTCGGTTTCTTATCGGAGCGCATCTTTGCTCTCCGATCCTGCTCCCCAGCGGCTGAGACGCGCAGCACACATCGGTCCTCTA